GTGGGAATTTTAAAAAGAGAGAAATTGAGGCTCAGAAAGGGTAAACGAATAACTTGCCTAAGGACATATAACCTGTAAGGAGCTAAGTCAGGCAGGCCCAATGACCATGACTTAACTACTTGAAATCCCATAGTCTTTCTACACTAACAGAAAAAGAAAAATAATTTGCTGTGGCTGATTGGGAAGAAATCATTCTCAGTAACGTTAAATATTTACCTATGTGTTTTGGCAGATATTATGCAAAGGAGGTAAATGAGAGCTCAGATCTTCAAATCACTGAAATAGAAACTGAAACTGCAGCTGTCTATAAACTGGGGTAAAACGTACCTCGGGGTGACTGGTGGGAGCTCAATGAGAACATATGGAGAAGCACAATACAGATGGAAGCAGGTGATGCTACTTTGTCCAAAGAAAAACTATCGCTGTGGAGAAAGCCCTGGGAGACATAATCTCAGAAACCACTAGAGCAGCAGGAAATTGTCATCTCTCTTCCAGTTGATCAGGAACCAATATGAAGACATTTCATCACAGTGAACTATTTGATCAGTGGGTGTAAGTGTGAGGGCCTAGGAACTGTGGACAGCAGTAAGTGAGTCTTAACACACACCTATGTATTTCCACCTATCCAAACTAAGAAAATAACATTTTAAATGTTGGAATTCCAAACCAACTGGCTACTCAGAGGCAACTTATAGATAAGGAGAAAAAGAAACTTTTGTCACTTGCGACCTAAATGCACAATTCTAAATCATTCATCCCCATCTTTATTTGAGACTGTTAAAGATTCAGCTTCTAAGGAGAGGATGAGCCTAGCAGAAAGCATACCACATGCTGCTTGTCCTCACGCCTCAGCCTCTCACTTGCAAATAAGTTCCTCCAGGAAGATCTGAAAGCTAAGCTTGTCCAGAATGGGTAGGAGTCACAGCCGCAGCAAGAAGGCACGAAGATTGGTCCTTTCACACCTGGGCGGTCAGTGCATTGTCCTGCCTCCTGCCAGCAGCTTCTCCCCAGGCTCAGGATAACAAGCCCCCAAGAAGCAAGGCAAGGAAGATGGGGAAATCATAGAAAGTGTGGCATGCCTTTCTAACCAGTTTACCTCTTTTAACACTCTACATCTGTGGTCTATTAGAAAGGCTTTATTTTACTAATCTGACTAGACAAGTGAGCAAGATTTTGCAAGGAAGGTCACAGAACCAGTTTTGACCATGTCTTTCCCACAAAGTGAATATCGGCCATTGCTCCTCCTGCACACACATCACCCAACATGCCACCAAGCATGAAGTGCACAACATTCACTCAGTCAACAAATATGTACCAAAGCAAATAAGTAGAAAACAGTACGTAATTCTGACTGCAGATGCAAATCATATTTTAATAGCCACCTGCCTACTTAACTCCTCCATTTGGATGCCTAAAATGCATCTCTCGACTTAACAAGGCCAAAACATAATTCTTTTTTTTTTTTTTTACCACTGAGAAAAAAATTAAGTTTGTATTCAGGATAATGACAATAAATCCACTACATATTAATATAAATAGCATTTTTTTACAAAAACTAATTTTCTTTTTTTTTTTTTTTTTTTTTTTTTTTTTGTCCTCACCCGAGGACATTTTTCGATATTTTGTTCAGATAGAGTGAGTGGGAGAGAGAGAGAGAGAAACATCGACGTGAAAGCGACACATCGAGTGGTTGCCACCCACACGACCCAACCAGGGCCGGGGACAAACTGCAACCAAGGTACGTGCCCTTAGCGGGAACCGAACCCGGGTCTCTCCGGACCACAGGCCGACGCTCTAACCGCTGAGCCAAACCGGCCAGGGCACAAAAACTAATTTTCCAAAAAATAAAATTAATGAGTAAGTGATGCTTGACATTACAACTCTCTTAATGTCTGGCTTCATAGAAGTAAAGCAGATTCTCACATCTTCTCCATTCAACCTGTTACGATATACCGTTTTGGTTGACATATAAGAAGAGGCTGGCTGGTGTGGCTCACTGGTTCAGCATCAACCCCTGCACTAAGAGTTCACCAGTTTGATTTCCGGTCAGGGCACATGCCCAGGTTGTGGGCCCAATCCCCAGTGGAGGGCATGCAGAAGGCAGCCAATTGGTGTTCTCTTTCATCAATGTTTCTCTCTCTCTCTCTCTCTCTCTCTCTCTTTCTCCCTCTCTCTCTCTCTTCATTCTTCCCTTTCTAAAAATACATAAAGGGGAAAAAAAATTTTTTTAACAAAAAAATATAAGAAGAAAATTTGACCTCACACAGATCTGTAGTTGGAAAGGGAGAAGAATTTTAATAATCTTTTCAGGTAATTCAAAACATAACTCTTTACCCATACCCTCCCCTACCCCCAAACCTACGGCTCCCTAAATATTTCTAATCTCTGTACAGGGCTCCACCACCCACTGTGAAAACAGTGACATCTTTGAGTTCTGTTTCCTTCACCCATTCACCTTCATATCCATTCAGCTGCAGTCTTGTGCACTCCAACTCCCAAACCTATCCACCTCTCTCTATCTTCACAGCTATCCTGGTCCAATACACCATCTCTCCTACTTCCTAACCTGATTCTTCCCTCTCCCCCATTCCACATACCAAGTCCGTCCCACAGAGTAGTCAAGGCAATCTTGGTAATTCTTTGTTCAGAGGCTCCAAAGCCTTCCTAGTGTCTTTGAAATAAAGTTCAAGTCACAAAGTCCTAAAAGATCTAGCCCCAGCCTACCTTTCCATCCTCATTTTATTGCACTCACCCCTGGCTACATTCGTCCTCATCTCCAATCCTCATCCCTCCAACTGACTCTGGACTAGCTCTTCAGTCCTCTTTCTGTTTCTGGTGTCTGCCTCTAAGCTTACCATTATTCTTTCTTCCTGGAAGATTGTTCCCAGAGCCAGGATTCCCAAAGCTGGCTCCTCATCATTCAGATTTCAATTCAGATATCTTCTTTGAGACTTTTCTGGAGCACTCTATCAAATGATCCACCCCTTAAGTCACTCTCTAGCCCATGCCTCTCTCTCATTTTCTTCATGGGAGCTGGAACTTTTTCTGTCTTATTCACTATTGTACCTTCAAGTGCCCAATAATTTTCATGCAGTCAACCAATATACAAGCACCTACTATGTACCAGACACTATTCTAGGTAACAAAGACAGTGCTAAACAAGACAAAGATCTGGTTCTTCATGGAGCCTTATTTTCTGATGGTCAGTGGACTAACAAATACCAAGGGGTGGTATGTAGCAAATAATATTAAGGGTAAGAGAGACGAAGTAAAGAAGAGGTACTGTTTTATGTTGGGCAATCAGATAAGGACTTTCCAAATAAGAAGGTATTTATTTGGGGAAAGATATAAAGGTGGTAAGGAGGGAAGCCATGGTTATCTCTCTCAAGCAGAGAAACATGCAAACAGCCCCGAGGAGAGATAGAGTTAGCTGAAGAAAGAACTAGGATTCCATTAAGGAGCCTAATGTGCAAGATGGAGAGTAGTAGAAGATGAGGTCACAGAGGCAGTAGAGGAATTGCAGGACACAGAAAGGACTTGATTTCACTCAAGTGGAAGACAGTGGAAGGTTCTGGGCAGAGGCCTAACAGGACTTGATTTATGTTTTAGAAGGATCACTCCAGCTGTCTAGAAAAAAGATTGAAAGGAATAAGCTGGAATGATACTGGCTTGCAATGCAGAATGAAAAGAGACTGTATTCTTGTAATATGTCTAAAGTAAACAGAATTTGCTGACAGACTGTGGTGTGTGAGAAGAGAAGTCAAGGATGACTCCGTGATTGTTAGCTTGAGTTCCTGTAATAAAGGTGTTTCTATTTACTTCTAGGGCAAAGGGGGAAAGGGTTTCAGTTGGAATGTATTAAGTTTGAGATACTTATCAGTCACTCAAGTGGTCATTTCAAATAGATGGCTGGATGCACAAGTCTGGAAATCAGGTAACAGACCTCCACTAAAAGCATGTACACTTGTATTGAGAGTCTTCAGTTTATAGAAAGTATCTGAAGCCATGAAGCTAAGTGAGATCATCTACAGCTGGGAAGAGTATAGATAAGAGATCCTATACCTGGTCCCTGGGGCTCATCACAACATCTAAAGGTCACCAAGATGAGGAACCAGGAAAGGAGACTAAGAAATAGCCAGGGAAGAAGGGGACAAGAGAGTATTAGCCACAAGCCAAGTAATGGTAATGTCAGACCTTAGTATCTGACCTTCTACTGATTCAAGATTTAAATCACAGAACCCAGTAAATAAAGACAATCTCAAAAATAATTTTAAAAATAATTAAAAAATAAAATAAAATGTAAAAAAAAGACAATCTCCAGGAAACTAATATTCTCTTGCCAGTAATGTTATTCTGGACTGTTTCCTTCGTGCTTAAAAATATAACAAGGGCTTCCATTTCTGGAGCAATTAACTACTTACTCATTCCTTCACATATTCAAACACGACATGCCAGACACTAGGTCAGGGCATGGAAAAGCAGATAAATAAACTCACTCTGCACCTTTGACCTCAAATCACTCCCACAGGTTAAAAAAATCAACAATTCAATTAACATAAAAGGAACTCAGATGGATGTTGGGTAAGTTGACAGCCACAGACCACCCACGTGGCAGAGAAAGGTCAGAAGGGCACCTGCTCCAGGTAAACCCACGCTGCTAATCACCAGTGTCCAACAGATTGACAGCTATCACAGACCTCACTTTCCACTGCCTTCTCTGACTGCAGAGAGCAGGGAGCACAATATTAATAGAAGGACCAAATCAGTCCCTTCGCCAGACCAAATCCAAGCCTCCATGCCTCCAGCTATCCAAGCCCTGGCTCCAGATTCCTTTTGCTGCCACTTCGCCCCCGGACCACAGGCCCCGCCCTATACCACTGGAGCGGTCACACTACAAATCCCACAAGGCACCGCGCGCTCGCAACCTGCCGGTCTACGCTCCGCCGCCGCGGAACTGCCTGGGACCTGTAGTCTCCACTCCCCCGGTGGCTGGCCAGTACCTGGAAGCGGTAGAGAAAGGCTTCGGGCCAGAGAACGAAGTAGGCCGGGCTGATGAGACCGAGCTTGCCAACCAAGGGCACCGCGACAGTGGCGGCAAACCAATAGCGTGTGATGGCCGGGATGCTCCTGAACCAGTCCCCGATGTCCGACATCTTCGCCTCTTAGGTGGCCAGTATGCGCACAGCCGCCCGCCTTCTCGTCCCGGCCCTTTCACGACGCGGCCGGCTTCGCGAGTGGAAGGTGTCGAGGCGGAAGCCGCCCGGGTCGCGGTGCAGAAGGCGGAGACCGACGGACGTGGCGCCACCGAATTCGGACGAGCGAGGGAGCGTTGGGAGGCGAAACTTCCCCTTCCGGCGGCCGCTGACGTCGTTGACCAAGAAGTCCCGCCGCTTAAAGGGCAAGTACGGTTTTTAACCACGGGGCCGAAGCTCGACGGTCTGGGGCGGAGCGATGAGGGGCGGGGCCAGGCGGGATGGTGACACGAATGGTGGAAAACAGTAGTTGCCCGGAGCAACGGCTAATACTCCAGCCAATGGGGAGGCTGATCGCCCTCCACCTAATTCACGGTAATTCAGGTGGGACCTCTTGGAGGGTGTTTAAAGGGGTAGGAGGGGAAGAAAGTACACCGTTCCCTATTTGTTTCTTCGTTCGACAAATGTTTGTTGAGGGCTTACAAAGTGCGAATTAGGATTCTAGATGCCGGAGATGCTGCGGCTATTAGGGCTGCCGTGGTACCTTGACTCCTGGAGCTTACGTTCTAATGAGGCTAGAAAGATAAACAGTTGAATAAGACGGTTTAATAGAGTAATAAGAAAAATATGGAAAATAAAATAGGATGATAGGGTAGAGTGACGGGGTGGTAGCGGAGGGGGGAAATGTGGGGAGAGAGAGCTACTTTAGATGAGAATAGTCAGGGAGAACTTATTGGAGGAGGTGATGTTTGAACTGAGCCAGCAAAGATCTGGAGAGTTTTCCACTCTAACTAACTTGGAGTTGTGAAGGATATGAAAACAGAAATGGTCTTGATTATTAACCTAGTTCAGCGATTTTCAACCTGTGTGCCGCAATAATTTTTAAAACGTGCGGTACCTGCTCTTTAGTCGGGGGCACTGACCTCTTTTCCCTTAGATTGATTATCAAACTTAAAAAATGACGACAGCCAACGCAACGATAACCATCCGGTGTGAATGAATCAAAAGTATACCTACTTTTTTGTCATATAGGCAAAAAATACAATATATGTTGGTGTTTCACAAAATTTTAGTAATTATCTTATGTGTTCCATGAGATGATAAAGGTTGAAAATCCCCGATCTGGTTCATCAAGTTGAATTGAAACTACAGGGAGATGAGAATCCACCTTTTCTCCGAAGAATCTTAAAAGATACAGAATAGGCCCTGCTGGTTTGGCTCAGCGGATAGAGCGTCAGCCTGCCGTCCATAGAGACCCGGGTTGGGTTCCCGCTAAGGGCATATACCTCGGTTGTAGTTTGTCCCTGGCCCTGGTTGGGTCCTGCGGGTGGCAGCCACTCGATGTGTCCCTTTCACCAATGTGTCCCTTTCTCGTCGATGCTTCTCTCTCTCTCTCTCCCTCCCTCCCACTCTATCTAAACAAAAAATGGAAAAATGTCCTCGGGTGAGGATAAAAAAAAAAAAAAGATACAGAATAGAACTTTTTGGGTGTACGTCCTACAGTTGAAGATTGATCAAGCCATCCAGGAAAGATCACGAGGAACACACCAGTTAAATGTATCCTATTGGGACATGGAAAGACCTGGAGAGCATTGTGCTAAGCGAAATAAGCCAATCAGAGAAAGACAAATACCACATGATCTCACTTATTTGTGGAATATAATGAACAAAATAGCCCCAAAGACAAAGAAAGGAGTATGGTTCAGACTGACAGACCTCAGAGGAAAGGGGTGGGGAGCATGGATGAGATGAACCAAAGAACTTCTGTGCATGTATTTGTAACCAATGGACATAGACAATGGGGGGGGGGGGGGTGGAGAGGAGGGTGTCTAGGGGGATAAAAGGAGAAACATCTGTAACAAAAATAAATTAATAAAAAATGTTTAAAAATTTATTATCTTGGGCCAGCAAGGGAAACTGCAGCCAGAGAAACCTCTACCATCTCATCAAACAAAAGAGAATAGGGTCCTTATTGGATTATGAGGAACAGTAGAGTTTTGGTAAAAATTTAAATTTGCATGGCAAGAGCATACAGTGAAGTAAGGACAGCCTCTTTAATAAATCGTGTTGGGAAAATTGGACAGCTACATGCAGAAAAATGAAACTAGACCATCAACTTACACCCTACACAAGAATAAACTCAAAATGGATAAAAAACGTAAATGTGACTCATTAATCCATAAAAATCCTAGAAGAAACTGTAGGCAACAAAATTTCAGACATCATACGCAGCAGAATTTTCACTGATACATCACCTAAGGCGACAGAAACAAAGGAGAAAATGAACACATGGGACTACATCAAACTAAAAAGCTTCTACACAGCTTTTGATACAATCATCAAAACGGAAAGGCTATCCACTGTATGGGAGAGCATAATTGCCAATGATATATCAGATAAGGGGTTAATTTCCAATATATATAGAGTGCTCATACAACTCAACAAAAGGAAGACAAAGAACCCAATTAAAAAATGGGCAGAGGAACTAAATAGACACCTCTTCAAACAGGACATACAAATGGCTAAGAGACATATGAAGAAATGCTCGACATCACTAATCATCAGAGAGATGCAAATTAAAACAATAATGAGGTATCACCTCACACCTGTCAGAATGGCCGCCATCAACAAATCATCAGACAACAAATATTGGCGAGGGTGTGGAGAAAAGGGGACTCTAGTCCACTGCTGGTGGGAATGCAGACTGGTGCAGCCACTATGGAAAACAATATGGTGTTACCTCAAAAAATTAAAAATTGAACTTCCATTTGACCCAGTGATCCCACTTCTAGGAATATACCCTAAGAAGCCTGAAACACCAATCAGAAAGAATATATGTACCCCCATGTTTGTAGCAGCACTATTTACAATCGCTAAGGTCTGGAAACAGCCCAAGTGTCCATCAGTAGACGAATGGATAAAAAAGCGGTGGTACATATACATAATGGAGTACTACGCAGCTGTAAGAAAGAAAGATCTCTTATCCTTTGAGACGACATGGAGGGACCTGGAAAGTATCATCCTAAGTGAAACAAGCCAAACAGAGAAAGACAAGTATCATATGATCTCACTTATTTGTGGAATATAATGAACATAACAGTCTGAGGAATGGGGTAGTCCCAGAGACGTGGAAGTGGGGTACAGACTGACAATCCCCAGAAGAGGGGGTGGGGGGGAGATAAACCACAGAACTTATATGCATGTGTGCATGAACAATGAACATGGACAACAAAGCTGGGGACAGGGCAGGGAGGAAGGGGGAGGGGGGAATCAGTGGGGGGAAAGGAGAAACATCTGTAACAAAAATTAATTAATAAAAATAAATAAATAAAATTTGTAATTTGCGTTGATAGGCTCAAAGCAAAGCAGGACTGTGTGTAAAAGGGTTAACATCAAGCAATGATACTGGGCTAAATTCTAGGGGAAAATGTAGAGCTGTGAGGGAAATAGGTACTCTCATGAATTATTGATAAGAATATAAATTGGTACAGCCCTCCCAGCAAGCAGCTTGGCAATAATTAAATGCATTTTTAGGAATTTAAGTTTTAGATAGACTCCACCTTTTTTAAATGTGTAAGGATAGTCATTGCTTCCTTTTTGGAAATAAAAGATTGGAAAAAGCTGAATATTTGTCAATAAGAACCTGATTATAAACTACGTTTTATCCATATAATTGAATACTATGCAAACTTTATTAGGAAAAAATAACTTTGTGTACCCCAAAATGGAACCATCTCTAATAACACAGAGCATTAAGAGTAGAAAATTAGCCCTGGGCCAGTTTGGTTCAGCGGTTAGAGTGTTGGCCTGCAGAGCAAAGGGTCTCGAGTTCGATTCCCAGTCAAGGGCCCACACCTGGGTTGCAGGTTTGATCTCCAGCCCCGGTCGAGGTCGTGTTGTGTGGGAGGCAACCAACCAATGTGTCTCTCTCACATCGATGTCTCTCTCTCTCTCTCTCTCTCTCTCTCTCTCTCTCTCTCTCTCTGTTTCTCTCTCTCTCTCCCCCTCCCTCCCTATCTAAAAATCAATGGGAAAATGTCCTCAGTTGAGGATTAACAACCACAAAAAAAAATATGAGAGAATAAATGTCTCCTTAAAAAAAAAAAGAATAGAAGAGTTATAGTAGAATCTATACTCTATGCTATATACAAATATACACAACAATATTTGCTTGAGACAATGGTTACCTCTGGGAAGGGAAACTCAGGCTGGGAGACAGAGTGGGAAGGAGATATTTTATTGCATATTCTTTTCTACCGTTTAAATGTTGTCCCAATTATATGTACTATGTGTTTGAAAATTCATTTTAAAAATACATAGAAAAGTTTCTTAGAAAGATTGAGAAGTAGAAAAGATGCCCTTAACTATGTCTTTCCCACTATAATTGAAATATACTTCCTATTGTTTCTCTTCTTAAAAAGGACTTTAAAAAACTGGAGAAAGACCAGCAATTTAGGGTACAGTATTGCCTGGTGCTGAGCTTGGCATTGCACTGCTGAGTGATGCTGACAGACAGGGAAATACCATTCTGTCACAACAATCATATAGGAACACCATCCTCCTGGGATGCCTGCCACGTACGTGGCATCTTTCTTCAAGAAATCCAAAGCACTTTGCAAAGATGTAATTAATCCTTATGTTAAGGCAATCTTGTTGGCACCATCTTACAGATGAAGAAACTACAGCAAGAATAATCATTTATCTCTATCAACCAGCAGAGCCAGTCAGTCATAAGCCTGGGAAATTATTTATTTTTTATCAGCAACCATTTTTTTAATATGTTTTTATTGATATTTTTTAGAGAGAGAGGGAGAGGGAAAGAGAGAAAAACATCGATAAGAGAAACATCAGTTGGCTGCCTCCTACATGCCCCCCACTGGAAATCAAGCCTGCAAACCAGGCATGTGCCCTGACTGGGAATCAAATCTGTGACCTCTCAGTGCACAGGATGACACTCAACCCACTGAACCCACCAGCCAGGGCAAGACTGGGAAATTTTTAAACTGTGGTACACTGGACTGGAAGACAAGAGGATTACTGAACATATAAAGCATTTCCCATTTGTTATTCTGATGTGTGTAAGTGTGTGCGCATGTGTGTGCATGCGTGTGTGTGTATACTAAATAAAGTCAGCCTTCTACA